GCAACAGTTTGGTGAATGCCAACTATGTTTGTGCAGAAATCTGGATAAATTTAAGTAGGATGGTGACTCCCATCAGGGAAGGCATAGTCTAATGGAGGAAGTAGACCCATGAACAGATGAGAAAAGAGGGCCTCATATATAGCCCTGCCAGTTGTCAGCTTGGAGATACCTTACTCCAGGGCTGAAGAGGGAGATTTATGGTCATCAGCTTCCCTGAAAACTGATAAATTAGATGCAGACAGCTAGAGCCTAGAACTGCCAAATGCATCCTTAGGACTGAAATATAACTGTGCTGTTTGTAGAACTGTGAGAACATGCTGAATGCACTGTTTTATTTATCTGTAACCTGTTTAGAGGTGAAAGAAAATATGATAATAGGAATGATGGTGATAATTACTATAATGAGGCCTGTTCTCTGCTGCTCTGGGAAGGAGCAGACTATGGTAGAGGTTGTCTAGGTTGAATGAAAGAGGAGTTGTCTTCTTTTCATGACCACTTGTGCGCACAATGCTGGCCACGTGCATGTGCATCTATCTGTGTGTGTCTGTGCGTGCTGTGTACGTTTCCTCATCTATGATTTGTTCTTTGAAAAGGAAACTAAGGGTAGGAAGGGGATGGGTAAACCAGAAGCCACTAGGCTAGGCTCACATTTTGGAGCTGGGGCTTCTCTGAGGTAATCTATGTTTCTGGGGAGATCACTGCTTTTCCATTAGTGACTCCCACAGATACATGGCTGTGCAATGGTGGCCGAGTGATTCTCTGGGCACCCTGACAGGTGTGTTAAGAGATTTTCATCTCTTTGCAGCTCAGGGAAATGCTTTTCTGTCTCCTCTCGAGCCAGAAGAAAATCAAGACTAACACCCGCCACAGTGAATCTATCACACGTTTTTTTCCACAGATACAGTAGGTATCGGTAAACTTTCTTTTGTTTAACTGATCAGAGAAGTAAATTAATTTGTCGGAATTTGCACAGTTAATCAGACAAGTAACATGTATTTTTAATGGCTATATTACTAACTGTTTTAATTCTTCTGTCTTTTCACTCCTTAATATATTTGGGATAAATTTCCAGTTGCCTCTTTCCTAGAAATGAATGCACTTCATGTGCTTTGGAAAATGACACACATCTTATTTTTCCCCCACTCATATTTTGTTTGCATTTCATCTGAAACTATTGGGTTGAGATGAGCCATAAATTATTTAGCCAACTCTGTCACATCTGTGATCCACAAGATACAAAATTGGATTCCCTTCCAGTCTTTCCCATTCTAGGAAGTTAAGCCACATCCATGACATGTTTTTCCCTAATTTTACAACATTCTGACTGGCCGATCAACTTGCAGTTTGTATCAATATTTAGTATATTCTTGCATATGTTCTATCTCTCTTGACTGAATGGGGAGGAGAGAAGATTGTCATCATGAGTTTGATTTGAGAATCAAGAACTTTTTTCATATGTATTATTTCTCTTGAGATAAACAGTGGAACTTCATTGAGTTTGGGCATTGTGCCACTGTCTTAAGTTGAACGTTTTGAAAATAAAGAAAACACCACATAAGACAACTCTTCTGGTAGCACATTCTGTGGAGTGGTGGCCTCTGGACTCACAACTCCAATGACACGTACTTTAACTGATCCAGAAATCTTTGTGCTGATCCAGCCAACCCCACTGAGCTGTGAACTGCACTCATGTCATTTTATAGTTGAGGCAAGGAAGGGCTAATTACTTGCCTGCTCAAGGTGGCTAATGATGGCAGGGCCCCAACGTAAATCTGGACATCAGCTTTGGGTCACTGACTTGCTTTCCCTTCTATGTGTGTGGGACCCTTAACTTGTTCCTTGTTGCCTGTAGGTAAAAATCAGCTCCACTCAGGGAATACCAAACCCTTATAATTCGTCTCCTGCTAACATGTACAGGGTTATTCCCTGCTTTGTACTTTCTCCATCTTCTGCCTGGAATGCACCTCGCTGTGACCACTTCCTTCCTCTCCTAACACCACCACCTCTACCTTGTGAGCATTCACTACTCAGTCTTCAACCCCAGATTGTCCCCTCCCCCAGGAAGCCTTCTCCATCCTCTCTCTGTCTCACACCCAGTTTCCTCTCTCACCTGGAACATTTATTCATTTATTGATTTATTCAACAAATGTTTCTAAACACTCACTAAGTGCCAGGCACTGAGCTGAGCAGAAACCACACACCTCTGAATACAGCTGACCAGCTCCTGTCCTCATAGAGCTTAGAGTCTGGTGGAGACATTAGAAACATATGGTGAGCACACAGAAAAATATGTAATTACAACTGGGATGAGGGCCAGGAAGGAAAGAAAGTTGGTGCCTGGAGCCTGCAGTCCCCAGCTCAGCGTCACCACCACCTGCAGCAGTGGCATTCAGACTATCCACTGCAGAGCCTCCAGGACTGAGAGGGGGGATGGCCAAGGGGGTGTCTGCATGCCCAGGATGCCCGCCTCCTCTCCACCTAGTGGCTCCCAGAGCCTCAGGCTTCTGCTGAGTAAAGGACATAAGCATGTGCCACCACAGTGAGGAAGACCTTTGGTCAGGCAGCAAGGGGTGACACTGGGGGTGTGAAGGTGATGCCTCTTTCAGAGCTATGAGAGATGTTCACCAATAACTGCGATCAGGTGGGGAGGCATCTCATAGAGTAAAACACAATCAGGGACGTGGCTATATCGTGACCTGGTCAGAATTCCATCAGTCCCTCCCCTTGCCTTCATTCTTAGGATTAATGGAGATTTTACATTCTCTTTACAAATCTCTTTAGGAAGACACACTAATACTTTAGTAAAAGTATTTCAGTTTTTGAATAGTCCAAAAAAAAGAGAGAGAGAGATCATCAGTAGTAGGCTCAGAATTCATAAGGAACACTGGGCAAGAGACTCATTCTCTGGGATTTATTTTCAACTTTGTCAAGAAATACTTGGCTTTGTCGACTTAAAAAAATAGTCACAACCTAAAAGTTGAGAGTTATGTTTTAATTGGTGGGAATTTTTAGGACTTTAAACACAGGAGACAGTGTCTCATGTAACCCTGAGAGAATTGCTCTGTTGAAGCAGAGGGAGTGGGAGGGGGGCGGTGGGCAGAAAGGGAAATGAGGGGAAGTTGGTTATACAGAAGTTTGCAATAAAGGACAAAAGTATTGAACATCGAAAGTATTTTATGAATTAAAGAAAACCAGATAGCCCAAGTTAAGGAATTTAGTGCTTTTCTATCCAAGAGAAGAGGTAAGAGTCTGGGCTCATTGAAATCATTCCTTTCATATGCATCTCAGCTATTTGGGTCCACTATTCTGTGTTTTTCACATCCTGAGTTTCTCAGTGCTCACTGTAGGGAGTGGCTGCAGCTTCATGGCTGCCAGATCGCACATGTATTTTCTTCCTTCCTGAGTGAACTTAGGGCTCAGGGATTCATATTTGGAGGGCCAGAATCACTGATGACAGTGATATCCTTGTTTACTGATATGAGGGAAATATTCCGTTTCTCCCCTTCATATTATAGGATTCTTAGGGTGTTTGTTCCTTATATAAACTTTAAGTTCTTGCACTGAAATGTACTTTGTAAACTGAAAGAATCTAAATTACAAAGAGAGTTTTCAGCTTTTAAATATAATGAACTTGCCACTTCTTACCTGTGTTTTTCCTTCAATTTAAATGCACCATAGAATATATAACATTGCATACATTTGAGTTGAAAGCTTGTTATGCAACTTTTTTTTTCTTTTTCTTTCATCTTTTAATTCTAAAGAGTACGGTTACTTTAGGTAAGTAAAAAAAAATGAGGTAATTACTTACAGGACCATTAATTGTTCAAGGGAAATAGTCCAAATCACATTTGCTTACATGGAATTACTCTCAGAAATTTTATTATTCAATGTATTGTAGTCAGCAAAACAAACATTTTAATAAAGTCCAGGTATCAAATGTCTCAACATGCTTAAAACCTTTTACTTTGTCTACTTAAAATTTTAGTAGTTTGTGTTAGGGAGCCTTATTTATGTTTTTGAAATTTTTTGTTTAGTGTTTTGCAAATATTTAAAGTATTAGGCTATTTAAAATGTTTATAAGAAAAAGTTCAAAACATTAATATGGAAAGTTCTATTTGGTTTTCCTCTTCAATTATTTTTAAAAGAAAAAAATAATACCATCCAGTACATCTAGATTTGTATTAAATGGATTTTCTTTCAAATGTGTCTATTTGGAAATACACACTACCTTTTACAGTGCCCATTACACTACATTATTAGTAATAAATAAAAAATTTTTGTTAGTTGTGACAAAAATCTGTACAAATTTTTTATAAACAATATAAGAGAAAGGTATTCTGTCAGTTTAATGAATTATTGTAATGAATTTTTATTCCAAAAAATGTCATGGAATCAAGTAATTTCATGGAATCAAACAAGTAAATGCTTACTGGCTTACTTTGAAAGACGCTAAAAACACCTCAGCTCAAGGGATCTCCCTCTCTGGTGCCCCTTATTTCACCCTTTGCATTTCATTTCCTTCATGCGAAGATTTGCCTCCTCTGGTGGGCTTTGTGTGGGTTTTTTTCTTTGTTTATTCATTTGTTTTTAATGTGTTCTATTTTGAGAGGACAGTAATTCTCCATGATGCCTTAGTGAGCTTTATCCTACCCAGCTGCCTTGCTCCCTGGAATGAGTTGCCTGAGGGCACAAGACTCTGAAAGAAACCAGACCAAGCAGTGTTGCTGTAGGGCCAGCCCAGAACAAGGAGTAATGGTCACTGATTATGTTATGCAAATTGCAGATGTTCTGGGTGGCAAATATGTGTCAGGCAAACATCCAAATGTTTCCATGAGCCAGAGGTTTTAGCCTGAGGGCTTTCTCTGATGAATCAGTACGCTGATCAAAAGGGCCACATTGGTCTAGTTTATTCATTCCTTGAATAAATACTTGATGGTTAAATGCTGACTGAAGTGGAATTAAACCCAGATTAATTTGTCCTCCACTGTTGTGTGTTTCAGAGACTGGAGCACAGGGAAGTTTTGGTGGGCTTGTTGTTCCTGGTTTTCCCGTTCATCCCAGCCAGCAACCTCTTCTTCAGGGTGGGTTTCGTGGTGGCCGAGAGAGTCCTATACATGCCTAGGTAATTACTGTTTCTGGTTTCCTCTTTACGAGACCAACACTGATGGTTCCAGAGAGACTGTTCTTTGCGTGCATCACAGTTAGATCCTTGTGGAGCTCAGGTGTTTATTACCTCAGCTTTAAAAACAGCCACAGAGGAAGCTGGATAAGAATATTAACCAGAGTATATTCAGGATTTTAGCAGCAATCATTTTACCGTAACTTCTTTGTTCAAGTGTCTGTGCTTATTAAACATAATGAGTTACTTTCTAGATATATTTGTTAATATGCATAAAATTATTAACCGTGTTAAGTAGCATGAATTTAATTGACTTCTACCTTCTTTCTCTGTCTCTCTTTCTTTGTCCTTGAATTTAAAAAGAGGAACAATCTCAAAGAAACTTGTCCTTGAGAAAAACATTGGTTAAAAGTTATAAAGGGCATTCAGACATGTATGATTACATAATGCCACTTAGCTTTGAATATTTGAACTGTGTGACGCTTGTCTGTTCTCTTTGTCTTATTCAAATGTCAGCATTCCAAGGCCATGTTTCTTTTCAGAAGCCTGAGAATGTCCCTGAAATGGTTCTGCCATTTATCCATTGTGTGACCTTAAGCAGAACATGATTTTTTTACACTCATTTTTTTTTTTTAACTTTAGAAAGTTATTTCTTTATTTTTATTTTGGCTGTGCTGGGTCTTCACTGCCACACGTGGGCTTTATTGCCACATGGCACGTGGAGTCTTAGTTTCCTAAGTATTTAACCCCCATCCCCTGCATTGGAAGATGCATTCTTAACCACTGGACCACCAGGGAAGTCCACAAACTGAATTTTTTTTTTTTAACTTATATAGCTTTATTTATTTATTTTATTTACTCTTGGCCACATTGTGCAGCTTGTGAGATCTTAGTTCTAGACCAGAGATTGAACCTGACCCTTAGCAGTGAAAGTACAGAGTCCTAATCACTGGATTGCCAGAAAATTCCCTCTCATTTTTAAAACAGAGATTTTAATAAGCTTCCTAAAAGTAAGTGATTTTATGAATTATAAGTAAGAATGAACTTTTCTAAAAGGCAACAAAATAAATACAACAAACCAAAATATTATCAGGAAATTATTCATTTATTCATATTGAGTTTGAAATTTGTTAACTTTAAATTTAATTTAAATAAAATTAATTTAAGTAATAAATAAGAAGATTTAATTTCATTTATGGATATTGATTGAGAATTTTTAAATGCATATATAATTAGAAGTGAATTTCATAACCCTTGACTCCCCTCAAACTAGATACCTCACAGCATTCCTAAGACTTTACTTGTTTTGACTTGGTTAATGAAAAGGTGGCCTTTAATTTTCTTTATGTGTCTACAGCACAATTTGGGAAGGAGATCATTCCTTGATAAGAACTACTTGATAAGACAAAAATACAGCACAATTTCTTTGCATTCTGTGTTACCTTAAGATAACAAGCTTGTGAGGCTTTGTCGGTACTAAGGAATATGGTCAAAGGCAGACTTCAGTGTCTGTTCTACATGTGTTTGTGCTTAGAGCAGCTGAGAGTGGCTTCAGTCAGGTTTCGTCTGCAGTACTTATGATTCCAAGTAGAATCTGTATTCATTCTTCACTTAACAGATACTCACAGAGCACCTGTCCCAGGCATGCTCTACTAGATTTGAGGCTACAAAAATTAAATCTCTGGGTTGTTTTTTTTCCTACCAAAGATTTTAACTGCTGATTAAAAACAAAATGGTACCTTTCATTCTAAAACTTGATGGTCTGGATATTTTTTTAAATAATATCAGAGTCTAATTGTATCAGAACTTTTGTTGAATCTTTATTGTATGTCAGTCACAACACTAAGTGTGTTATATTTATTTTCTTAGTTAATTCATGCTGTATGTGGTGGTTCAAGACATGGTCCTGCTGTCATAGTGTGACATGAGTGTGACATCCCTAGGTCTGTTTCCTCATCTATGTAAAATGAAGATAATGGCACTGAACTCAGTGAGATATTATAAACATTAAGTGAGATGGTCATATAAAATGCTTTGTATTGTACATGACTAGTAAGTATCAAGCGTTACTATTGTTGATATCAGCTGAGGTAGCTGATACCATTATACCCATTTTACAAAAATAATGCCTGGGCTCTAAGTTAAGTAACTTGTCCAAGTGACATAGCCAGTAAGTGGCAAAGTGGTAGATTATGGATCCTTGTCTACTGACCTGTCTGTCACCTTCCAGGTTACACTGCTTCTCTGAGAGTAACCTCAGGATTCTGCTCAGTTGAACAAGATGAAGAAAATCTGAGCATAGTTAAGTACTCTCAGCTCAACTCCATTTGGAATCAGCACTTGATACCTTAGGAGTCCTGAGATCTGAATCCTCAGCCATTGAGGTTCTGAGTGCATGGGCAGTGAACTTTTCTAATCCAAATACAAGAGAAAATCTTTTGAGGAAATGAAGGGCTGGAATTTTAAACAAAAGGTTAAATTTCATTCTTCTGGAAGAGAAACTTAGATAAACATTATGAAAGAAAAAGTGAAAGTTAGTTGCTCAGTCGTGTCCACCTCTTTGCAATCCCAAGAGCTGTAGCCCGCCAGGCTTCTCTGTCCATGGAATTCTGAAGGCAAGAATACTGGAGTGGGTTGCCAATTCCTCCTCCAGGGGCTCTTCCTGACCCAGAGATTGAACCTTGGTCTCCTGTGTTGCAGGCAGATTCTTTACCATTTGAGCCACCAGGGAAGCCCATAATATTGTCATCAACCACGTGTAAGCTATCTTATTTAAAGTCAGCAGTTTCTGTCGCCCCAGTAGATGCGTCCTCCACCCACAGAATCATCCAGCTCTGGCCCTCCCTGCGCCGCCATATCATAACTAGGCCTCTCTCTGACTCCATTCCTTTTCTCCAAAATAGTCAGAGTTGTACCTCGGCCCTTTTCCCACTAGGAATAAGCTGATTTGGATTAAAAGTTTGAAACATAAAGAAAACATCAATATTACCAAGAGCAAGTGCCTGCCTCTCAGAACCTATTTGAATGTTGCTGCATTTGGCAAACTGGATGCAAAGTCATCCAAAAATCAGTTTCAGGAAACTGATCTTTAATAAAAGATGACTGGCCTTTCCTCTCCAAGTTCCTGCATCTATGCATTGTAGTGCTGATGCCAAGTCATCGTTTTCTGAAGGTTTATCTTTACTGCCCAGCGTCTCCTGTATTCAGATCCATATTATCAGTATGTCTGGCCAGGACTCTTTCCCCTCCAAAGCGGTAATCTCAGCAGATGCCAAGGCCATGTGACAGGGAGGTGGTCCTGGGGCTGATGAAGGGGGCAAGTGACCAGGCCAGGTACACAGCTCTGAACACACACCTGAGAGTTTAATTCTGATTCTGGGAGCCCGGGGTCAGAGGAAGCTGAGGAGTTTTTGACAGAGACATTGTACCTCTCATGGACCCCAACCTTCCTTCATGGCCACTGTTGTAATGAGTACCACAAGGGAGCCATTTTAATTATGGCACTGGATTTCATTTTATCTAAAGTTGTACAGCTGAGTCAGAAATGAAAGTTTTTGTGGTGAAATTTCTGTACTATGATTTAAGAGACTTTAATAACTTCATTGGAACTAGTTACCCATGTTGACAGTTCTCATGAAAACGGGGACTTTCTCCTAAAAAGATTTTACCCAGCAGAGACCAGCTGCCCCGTCTCAGTGGAATATGGTAGACAATTGGGTAAGGAGCTGCTGGAATCTTCCTCAGGGCTGCGGAGAATGTTATAGACACTGCAAGTGTCCCTTGGAAGGTACCAGAGCACCAGGTGAAGCCGGTGCATTTAATAAACCTGCAGGCTGGCTTCCACGATGCGGAAGCATGTGTCCAAGCTTTTTAAACACACAGGAAACCTCTCTGCATGGCTCTCTCCTATTATTGAGCTCAACAAGAAAAAGCCATTTCCCTCTGCATTCATACCCAACTGCTTTGAGGAAAATAGGCACATATTCTGACCTTCTTGAAGATACAGATCATCATCTTTGACACAGAAAATCATCAATGCAGAAAATCTGTGGTATCTCCAAAACTTTAGCAAACAAAAGGAAGATGAAATTAAAAGTTCAATTGATAGGTGAACTTCCTGCTCACTGAATGTTCAAGTTAAGGATCCCATTCCGAGTTTTAAGATCCCATCCATAAACACTACAGAGGTCATGTCCACCCTCACTGAATCCCAGGTGGATCCCAGTAGCCCCAGGGGGCTGGTTTGGCCATTTTTACAAGAAAAACCCAGAATGAGTCATATTCACAGTTCTCTTTCATCCTCCGCCTTTCTGCCTAACAACGAACAAGTCACTTAAATCTTTTGGCTTCTGTTCTCCCTCCATGCTAAACTAGCGAAGACCCAAAATCTCACCTTCCTCTCACTTGCACTTTGAAATCTGTGGATAAAAGGTACAGAAATTGCCTATCTATTTAGCACACTGTTGCATGGCTTAAGGGTCAACGTTTTACCACCAAAAGCAATTGGAATAATCTTTTCTTCTGGTGATAAATGCCAACTTTATGGATATCTTTTTTGAACAGGCAGGGGAGTTCAGGGCTTAAATCATTCTTTCACAGAAGTTTTGATCTCTTGTTCTTATCTCAAAAGAAGCATATAATTTAATGGCTACTTTTTGTATTTCATAAAAACCACTTTATAATGCTTCAAAGGACTAAAATTTCCTAGAATCGATGAAGCAGACGTAGTTGTTGAGAGCTCTCAAATAAAGTCATAGGATGTGATCAGAGATCCATTCAGATGCCGGATTAAGGATGATTTATTTACTTTAGTGTCAAAGAGCAAATTCCTGAACTATTTTAAGAAAACACGTATGAGGGGAGAGGGAAGAACAGACAGGGGTAAGTGAAGGCAGAAACAAGAATGTGGACAGAACTGATCAAGAAAAACTGCAACCGTGGAAGAAGTTAAATAGATAACATGTGTTTGAGGGGAAAAGAGATACTATTTGAGTTGTGTAGTT